AATAATTATGTATAAGTGTGTATATACCCGATATAATGATGGTATTTAATAGTGTATAAATTACAAAAAAATTCAAGTATGTTAATATATCCAATATAATGATGAATCACAGTGCTATTCTAAGTATATTATGTTATGTTTTATCATTTTAGTTCCTCTTTAGTGTGTGGTCGAAGAATAAATATCCTTTTAGAAGAAGATGGCATAAAAAAGCGAAATAGATATTTTTTTTGTTGAGATTTTTGGTAATATTTGGTTTAAGGAAAGAGGGGAAATATTTTTACAAGATGTTAGTGAGAATGAAAATAATTTTCTTAAATATTGGGTGCTGGCATTTTGGCCTTTAAAATGGAAACGGCTTACTTAGTTATTGGGTGCGGCATTTAAGCTTTAAAAATTGAAATGATTTCTTTAAATATTCGGTGCGTCATTTAGGGGATTGCAGTTACATAGATTTTTTATAATGCCATATTTGTAATAAAATTTGTTATTTTTGGAATAAACAATAAATATTATTAGTTAAGAAAATAACTTCTATAAAGAGATCATCCATGTAAAAAAACTCGACCAAATGAGCCGTTCCGTGCAATTTTTACTTGGATGCCAATGACTTATTGACCCAAACAAATGATTTAAACTGATGCAGACTTTGCCACAAGCCCATTTAGCCAACCTTTTTATATCTGTTTTTAGCAATGAAACTTTTTTCTTTTAATTCAAAATGTTACTCATAAAAATGTACAAGTTAAAAGTAGTTACTTAAATGAAAAAGTCCTAGAAGTAGCAATAAATACGAGCAAACTTCATTTACGGCCAGCCGCTAGAAACTAATATCAACGCTAGCCACAAAATTGCAGTATGCATTTTATAACCCAAAACTAATTAAAAGGCTAGCCACCAACCCAACTATCACAGAAACACAGTGTTGAGCTGCAGACACGCCAGATGCTACAACACATTCTCCGGAGGAATCCCGTCGGAGATAGGGAACTTGTCCGAGCTCGTACGTTTCAATGCTGCTAACTGTGGACTTTCCGGCAACATTCCATCGGAGATCAGGAAGCTTAAGAAATTGGATACTTTGTTCTTACAAGTGAATTCTCTTTCTGGGTCTTTAATACCCAAAATTGGGTATCTAAAAAGCTTAAATTCTTTAGATTTATCCAACATAGGGAACTCAAAATTCCTTAGTTTTTTTTTCTCTTCACATGAAGAAGGTGTGCAGAGAATTAGTGTATAGGGATTGATTTATTTTTTAGCTTCGAAAAATGGTTTATCACTGAGACAATATATCAATAGGATCGGCGCATTATTTTGCCAACCGCCATGGCTGCTTCTCTAGCGAAGTATATACTGGGTTTCGTTGTTGTTTCAGCAATTCTATGGAGTATAATCAAGTAAGTCAATTGCAGTTTTCGTATTTAGCAATTGTTACTATATCGCGTGAATAATGAATACTTCGCTCTCGCTTACACTTCCATGGCAACTATTAATTGTTCTAAGCTCCCAATTTTATGTGAGATTTGGGGGTTTGAAATTAGGGTTTGGGACAAATGGGGAAGGAAAATGGGTCCGTGATCGAAGTGAGAGGGGGAATGAAGGGAGAAAGAGGACTGGAATTGTTTGGTGGGTTTTGGGAGTTGAAATTTTGGAAATTCAAACGTGAATTGTAGTGTCCATTTCTGCTGCAGCTGCCTTCGTCCTTCCAACTTCCAAAAATAGTTTTTAATATTATTTTTGAGGTATTTTGCTTTTTAAAATTTTAATTTATTATCTCATAGTCTTCACTATACAAAATATATACAAAATAGACTGTCATTATACAAAAAATATACAAAATAGACTGTCACTATACAAAAAATATATAAAATAAATTGTCACTATACAAAAAATATACAAAATAGACTGTCACTATACAAAAAATATATAAAATAAATTGTCACTATACAAAAAATATACAAAATAGACTGTCACTATACAAAAAATATATAAAATAAATTGTCACTATACAAAAAATATACAAAATAGACTGTCACTATACAAAAAATATATAAAATAAATTGTCACTATACAAAAAATATACAAAATAGACTATCACTATACAAAATATATACTAAATATATTGTTACTATATAAAAAATATATAAAATAGACTGTCACTATACAATAAATATACAAAATAGACTGTCCCTATACAAAAAAATATATAAAATAGACTATCACTATACAATAAATATACAGAATAGACTGTCCATATACAAAAAAATATACAAAATAGACTGTCACTATATAATAAATGTACAAAATAGACTGTCACTTTACAACAAATATACAAAATAGACTGTCCCTATATAAAAAAATATACAAAATAGACATTTCGGGCTATTAGATGTAATATGTTTGGGCCGGTCATTTTCTATCAATGGGCAAAAATATGGGCTATTAAAATTTTGAGGGGATATAGAATATAGTTTTCTCAATAAATACGATTACTCATCGATTTTACCATCATTTCTAGTAAGAGTAAAAAAGTTGTCTCTTGATTTTAGAACAACGTTGACAAAGATTTAAGTTTTCATTTTAAATTAGTTGGACTATGTAAATTAGTTGGACAAATGAAAATAGTATTATTAATAGAATAATATAAATTATAGAAAACATATCAAATAAAAGGGTATTATATAGATTGGAAGCGAGAGCTCAAGATGTCGTAATCAAATTCAATGGTATTTTTGGACTATGCCATGATCGTCAACTTGGACCCTTTCAGGTCAATTCATATACCATGACAAACTTGGGCCTTTCATGTCAAGTTGAGCATACTTGACATGAAATTTGGCATTAAATGAAGAAGTGACAAAACCTTTGATGAGATCCCAAAATTTTCAATGATCAAATTTGGCACACTCTTTTGTGTCTATGAATTGTAATTTTCAAGTGCTAATAGGGAATCCATCTTGTTGGCCCATACATAGTGTGGCCTTTTTGTTTTTACCATGTTTAACTCTTCCTTTGTCTTTTTCTCTCTCTATCGACTATTTTTAACATCATATGCCAAAAGAATTAAGTTCCGTGCATTGATAGTGCATAATTATTTAACACATCAGGTAAAATTAACCTACAATAACATATAATTTTTCCTGTTGAGTTTGATATGATGATCCGAAAATAGAGTGAAAACCTGCTATAACCAGTCAAATGGCAGTATTGGTATAAATATCACTTACACTAACAGTATATATAACTTAAATTTTTTGCAAAGATATCTAATGTTTGTTTAAAGGATGAAATTGTTGTCCATGTAGTATTTTATATATCAAAATTGATTTGATGGATCAAGGACAATACTCTGCCATGTTTTATGGGGTCCAAAAGAGTAGACAAAAGCCCATTAAAGTTAGATGGGCTGTCTTTGAACTGAAGCCAATGAATTTTGAAAATTCTAAACATTTGTCCATATTATGCCCATATCCTGCTCTTTCCTGTCCTTTTAAAAGCATTGGTTGGATTTTGTTTTATTTTATCTTTTTAGAAATTTTCTTTCAAGATACATTCGCCCAATTACTAGAGCTATCTTATCAAGGAAATATATATAAAAGAAAAGAGAAAAAGAAAAAGAAAGTTCAACCCTACATCATATATATATATCCTGTCTATCTCAATAGAAAATCCCTTTCAATTGACACAAGAAATATTGTATAAACAAGTACTATTACTACTAAAAAAAATGCTTTTATATTTATATTATTAATTGAATGAATTGAGCAGCTGAATGAAGTGCGGTAGTGTACATAGTCGTTAAGGAAATATTCAAGTTAGTTACTAATTGAAAGTTGATCATGTTTACACTTTAGTCCCAGAAGGTTTTATTACACATGATAAGATATATCCTTACATTGTAATTTTAATTTTCCCTATCCAGTTTGTTGAGGATGTTAGCTGTACGTTATGGTCAACAAGACTTGATAAAAACTTCTGAGTAATTACACTTTCAGTGCTTTTGGGAGTATGAATGAAATTATTACTCTACTAGCTTAGTTTCATTCTCTCTTCTTCGTAATTCACTTCCTGCTTTTTTGGGTTTTTCACTTCACTTCAAAAAGGGAATTAGTGGACGTTTAGAGTTCTCCGTTTTCTATTGTCTTAGCTGATATAAGAGATCAAACATAGATAGCCCAAGGGGAATTAGTCCACTAAAGGATATTGGTTAATACACACACAAAATTAGTTCCAACATTACTATGTAGACTACAAATTCATAACTAATATACTTCATACTTGGAAAACTAAGGGGTGGTTTGGTAGGGTGTATAGGAATGATGCTGAATATGGTAAATTAATAATGCTAATATTAGTTAAGCTTGTATTAGTTATGCTAACATATTTCTTATCCATTGTTTGGTTTGATGTATTAAAGTATCGCACAATTTCTAAAAGAATAATTTGTTAACAAAAATACCCTCATAACCGGTCTATCACTTTATCTTTTTAAAAGAAACATATGTTGAGGAATGTTTTTATATGAAAAAGGTTTAAAAAATATTTGATTTGTTTACATATATTGTAGTACAGAACTGAATATTTATTTATAAAAAAGGAAATCTACTAAGTATTTATTTATTTAAAACTTTCTTGGATTATTTCAAACTTGCATTAATATAATAGCATATTTTTGATCAAGCACAAATTTTGAAGGACAATTTTGTCTTTAACTAAGCTAACACATGCATTAAAACCCACTGCATTGTTAATACCATGATTTCCTATGCATTAGTTATGCATAGGATAATACCAAATAAAGTGTATAACTAATGATTGCATAACTAATGCATAGAAAATAAGGTATTATTAATACACAAAGCTAATACATACATTATTTTATCTAATGCATCATACCAATAGACCCCTTATTATAACAAGGCAAAATAGCGCTATCAATCCACCGAAAAATTGTAAAAAAGAAGAAAGAGAAAAAGGAGAGAGAGAGAGAGAGATGGATAGAAGAAAGAAAGAAAGATAGGAGTAGTAGATAGATATTGATCAATTTTGTTTCCACTTTAAGTACAAGTTTTCTTAATCTCCCTTCACCAACCCCTCCCCAACTCCACGCCGACCACCTCTTTTCCTACCTTCCAAGAAAGAAAATTACAAAGAAAAAAGAAAAGTAAGGTACAAAGCATTTGCCCAGACATGTTATACTGGACAACTTAATTCTTGTTACACACAACGTGAAAACAACTTCACACACATGACCCCATTTGTTTGGAACAGAGGACAGAGCCTCCTCCTCCTCCTTCTTCTTCTAGAGAGAGCTTTATAAAAAGAAAATACATGCATAGGCCACTTGTAAAAGTAGCCTCTCTAATAATATGCATGTTTTCTAGAAAAATAAAAAAGTTACAAAAGAGAAATGGCTACTTTTTCTTCTTTTATTATTATTAATATTGTTTAATGGAAACCGCCCATTGTGGTGGCTGGTTTGGCATCAGCAGGAGGAGAAGGCAACATTGTGAGTGCTAAAATGCCACTTGCCGCAGCTGCAACTGCTCCAACAATAAATCCTGGCAAGTTCCCTCCTCCAAACAAGTCATCCCATGGCCCTCCAACTATTGACACCAACATCTGTTTTGGTCACAACTAGTTATTGTTAGAGACTAATTGTGCATTCTTCATTAAAGCAATTTAATAAAGATCAAGTTTATGTTACGTGCACTGCACTGATAGTGTATACACATTTTTTATACTACCTAGGTTAAGTCGACCAACAACAATAGATAACTTCTTATGTCAAGACTGATATAGTAACTTGGAAAATAGATCAACTGCCGGTATACATATAACTTATACTTATTTTAAGATATTCATGCATCAAGTTATCACCTACATCTCAAATCTAAGTTTGATTAGATAGAAGAGATTTGGATATCACAGATTTGATTCAGTTTTCTTGCCCCTTTACTTATGTTTGATAACTCCTAATACGACAAGGGAATTACTATTTCAATAAGATTCTTTATCTCAGACACATCTACTCAAACAACATATAGCATAGCATAGCATCTTTCCTGGAATATGAAGCATAGTCATTTGGTCATATCCTATATTAATGCGTTTTAGTTACAAGTCATTTTCAAATTCCTTCAGTTGTGAATTGTGATATTCCCTATTTGAATGTTGCTCTTTTTCTTGTAGGACTCAGAGACATTCAGAGACTGTAGGGGCCTAGGTGAAAATTTGTGGGGCTTTTTTTCTCCCATTTCGTTATTTTTTTAAATTGTAATGTTACACCTGAAATTGATTCTTTAACCGATACATACACGTAATAGATAGTATTTATTCTTTTGCAATTAAAGTACTTTATCATGTTCATAGGCTTTTCACTATTTAGATTACACGTTTGTGGCTGAAATATGTTGTGACAAGGCATTAATTATGAAAGCAAGACTCGTGTTAAAGATAACAGAACCTAGAGGAATATATATAATTAGAAGAACAAGTACGTTATCCACTTCCTAGAAATTAGTACTTGTACCACCCTAGAATTTTAGGTTACTAATTTAGAATTACAAAAGAGATCCAGGATTGCAGATGAGAAATTGAGAAATATGGTAAGTAATAAAAATAGTACCTGTGGTACAACTATTGCAAGATTCAGAACTCCTAGTGACAAACCTGTGGAATTTAAAGAGACGGAAGCATATTAGGATCGTACATATATTTATACTTTATTTGGAAGTTTTTTTTCCTTTTCCTTTTTCTTTTTCTTCCTTTAAGGATATAAAGTTATAGTATGATTTACCTTGTCCTGAACCAGCATTACTAGAAAATATAGATGCCAAAGCAAATGGAACACTAAAAGTCACCTGCAAGAGAAAATAAAAATTTTAATACGTAATAATTTTCATATGAGTAACTCAATTTAATGTCAGAAGAGGAAAAGTTTGAAAAGACTCCTAGAAAAGCTTTTAGAGAAGATCTACCATATCAAAGTAAAAAAGGTTCGGTTAGAATTTCTATCTTCAAAGAATAATTAAAGGAAGAGAACATAGCATCTATGCTTTTGTCTTAATATATAAAAATCCTTTGCATTTAAAAAAAGGATTACTTGATCTTGCATAGAAACTTCCATTATCCTAATGAGCAAGAAGATGATTCTCGTTATCCTTATGTGGGATAAACAAATAGTACTAAGCAGAAATAATAAGAGAGAATTATGAACATAACTCATTTTTTAGTCTTATGTGTCAAATCATAGTGTAAACGCATTTTAATCTTTTAAGGTATGCAGATGTTATAATAAACCAATATAATATGATAACTTTGGTGATAATAAACAGAGTTAAATTCTAAAAAAATCCTATCAAATTAGAGCTGGAATTGAAATAATAATATTTTCAATTTTTTTTTTGAAGATATATAATTTACTAGGGGGAGGCAATGAAAGGTTCTCTTTTTGCACTTTGCACAACCGAAAGAGAAGTCATCAAAACTAAAATCATGTGATGCATTAAAGAAGCAAAAGTTTCTCACACCTTTGTTTGTCACTATAACAACGTACATTTTACGCGTGTGACTTGGCGGCCTTTTATAAAGCCACGTACAAATATATCATGATTATTTTTATTGGTAAAAAAGACCATAACCTATATTGGATTCCTTTTATTTTTTCTTTATTTCTCGAGATTTTCATTTGTGTTCAAGAAATTGAATTTCCTTTGGAAATACACCTTCGGCTATTGTTTACACTACTATAAGAAATATAACCAGATATCCATTTGCTTTTCTGATGATAAATTGATGGTAAAAAATCTAAAGAAAATTAATTTTAGTTGACTCTAGAAAAGTGAAAAGGAGATAATCTTTGGTGTATTCCTTTTCTCTTTGGCGCTAATTTTCTTTTCTTTTAACATAATAGACCAAAAGGAGGACTTTATTTGGGGTGTGGGGATCTTTTTCTGAACTCTTGATTGATTAGCTAACATTAATTAAAACAATTTTTGCTTTCAAAGCTAGTCAAATAAATCTGTTTAATTAATATACCTACGATCTACCTATATATCCAACATGTCCAGATCGTATAACTGACAAATAATTTCTGTTAGTTATAGAGTAATTGGTAGCTCCACTAGGTGTCAAATTTGGTCACTATCTTCACACTTTCCCATCTTTATAATTTTCCACATCTCGGAGAATATGATTCTCAAAATCATAATGCACTCTTGTCATGTATGGACTTAGTCAACCAACTTGCTAATTATTCCAAAAGCATGTGCACACACCCAATAATCGTATTTCAATATGATGTAATGTTTTAACAAAAAGATAATAAAAGAAAAAAAAAATCACCCTAAAATATAGCTAGTATCCAGCTAAAAATGAAATATAGTTTTGACTCTTTGTGACTTAATCATCTACTCATGCTCATATGACGAATAGCACCTAAAAACATACAAGGATAAAGATATATCTATAAATCATACTATGAAATTCACACTCCAAATTTTAAAGAAATATAATCAAATCCTCAAAAGGTTATACTACAAAATCTTATGCTCGCTTACCTTCAAATTTAACATGAGTTTCATTATGTTCCTCGAAATGTGTAATTCTAGTATATATTCTCAACTTTTGACCATGAAATCAATACTTATTTTTGTGGAGTTTAATTCTATGTGAAATATTTTTATATTATCAAGTTAGTAACTTTTTTCATAACAAGCATGATCTGGTATAATCTAGAAATTAGAGGCAATAATTTTACTAATAATGTTTAAAATAGAGGTAATTACAAATAGAAAAACTCACCGCAAGAGGAATACCAAGGACAGCAAAGAGAGTCAAGGCACCAATCTTAACACCAGAGGTAGGCGCCATGAGCGTGCCGTGAGCGTCATACTGCCGCGATTTCTCCGCCATTTTTGTAACCAAAACCGTCAAAGCCATGCAAACAGCCAACACGAAATTCAAAATCCCCCATAACCTCTTCACCCCACCGATCTTCTTCCCCAAAAACTCCACACTTAGCGACATAAACCCTAACACCACAGAGTTCAACAACAGCCCCAAAGCTCCGGCGTGCACTCCCAAATCGTACAATCTCCCGTCACCAACTTTTCCACCGTACACTTCCTTAGCCATCCAATCGGTATCGTACAAGAAAAACGGAAACCACGCAATCCAGTTCAAACACGTGACAAGTAACAAAATCCACATGGGTCTTGGTAAATCTTTTAAAGCACCGAAAATTTCACCGAAGAACGGGACTTTTGATTTTCCGCCGCCGCCGGCTTTTTCGTCGATTTCGTGTTCGTCTTTTTCGGGGAGCTCGTTTTCGCGGACGACGGTTAGGGCTAAGATTGTTAAGCTGAGTAGAAGGAAGACGGCGATGAAGAAACATGATTTGAGGTTGGCGCAGTAGATGTCACAGGCTGGGGTTTTAGAGAAGGGGAAGATTTTGTAGAGGCGGGAGTAGGAACCGGCGGCGTAACCGAGGACGTTTCCGACGGCCATGAAGAAGGAGAAGAAGGCGTTTGATGTTCTCATCCTCCCGGCTTTTCCGCCGGACAGATCAGCCAATAGCGCTCTGCATGGACCCTGCAAAAATTAAATGTTTTATCCACTAGACAGAATGTAAAATATATTTAAACAATCAAATCATTTTAATTTACCATTAATTTACAATTAGAAACCGATACGCTTATAGGAGTAATTAAGTTGAAGACAACAGTTACTTTTTGTATTATTTAATTCAATAGTGAAAAAGACACTATTAAAATATTTGTTGAGATAAAGTTGTTGGTCTTTTGAAAACGTAAAGAGTAATATTACATAACTTTTGTGGGGATGTCTGTGCATATACAATCCGAATTATTATTGTGTATCTAAAGGGATGTTTTCCCTATTTTATTGGTGTCAGTCAAAAATTATTGTTTAGCCAATACTCTGGAATCTAATTTTTTTTTTGTACCTAAATTCTGCGGAATATATATATTTCTACAATAATTATCTAGCTGGAGGTTTGGATTTTACTCACAATTAAATTATATGTGAGCAGAATTATTAAAATAATAAATAGTAGAAAACTATATACTCCTGCATAATTACACAAGTTTGCCGTGAGTGACGTCTTCTACTGCCGTTTTAGCAAAAATACTTTCTTTTTTGGTTGAAAAGTAAATTATACTCACTTTCTTGTCCATATATATTTTTAAAAAATCAAAACTAAGATGAAATTTGACTTAAAAAAAGTTTTACCTGTAACATATTGTTAGCAACATCAAGGATCCAAAACCCAACGACAAAAACAGCAATGGCTCGAGGTTTGGACCCTTTTCCGAGAGGGTCACCGGAGGCATGTCCAAGATCAGCAGCAAATCCGATGAGGAAAACAGCTATAGTGACAAGGGCGGCGCCGGCGGCAATGAACGGCCGGCGACGGCCAAAACGGGAGGAGCAATTGTCACTGTAATAACCCACAACTGGCTGAACAATCATACCAGAAATAGGTCCACAGAGCCAAATAAAAGAAGCAAATTTATGTGGGATACCAAGGAGTTGAACATATGGAGTCAATAAAGAAAGTTGCAGAGCCCAACCGAATTGAACTCCAGCTGCTATGGAAGCCACCATTATTATTTTCCATAGCTTGGATTTTGGTAAAGGCTGCTCAACTGCTAGAGAAGAAACATTAAGTTTTTTGGTACCATTCTCCATATTTTCTGAACTAGCTACTGTGTGTTTGTGTATGTGTGTTTTTTGGTTGTGGAGAGTTTGGATTAGATGTATAAGGAATGGGAGAGTGGAGGGGTATTTATAGTGTTTTTTGGAGGCAATGCATGACTGCTACTGGCAACTGTTGCAAGGCCTTAAAGGCTTTAAAACCAGCCCCCACAGCTGCCACCCCCTACCCCACCCTTAAGAAAATGGATTTAATTGTTAATATTTGTTTTTTAAAAAAAATATTATATTTAAATAAATTCTTGTACTATTATAAATAAGGGTGTTACAATTTATTCTTATATGTAAATCATTAAAAGAGGCATTGATATTCATGAGATTAACAGTCAACTATACACTGAGGTACATCTTGTATCCTTGAGGATTTAAGGAGAAATGGTTAATTAAAAGAAAATTCTTAAAAAGGGAAAGGTAGATTTTGAAGTTTTAGTTTGAGAAATATAAGTGAAAAAGTTTTCTAAAAAACGGGTATCATTTAAATGTTTTTTTTTCACCACTTAAAATTTGTTTGGTGAGTGAAAATGCTAGGTAGGTAGTGTAATACTATAAAAAATTGGCCCTTAGGAAAATAAACCTAGTATGTAGGTAGTAGGTACAAATTGTTTACCCTCACAATCGGATAACAATTAAATTTGTAAGTGATTTTAAGGATACACGAATTAATTTGATACAAAGCAATAAATTAAGTCAAATTGAACAAACAAAGATAAAATGGATTCAAACCACACGAGGAGGATAGTTCCAACCTTAGTGAAATATTCACCCTCGATCCGGGCTCGCTATGGCCAGCACCGATGAACAAGCGAAAGAGCTAATAACAGAGAAAATAATAATATATTGCTTTGGAATGCGTGTTACAATGGATGTCATAAATTATCAGACCCCCTTTATATAGTAGGGGAATCATACTCTAGGTACAACTCTATAAAAGGTAAAAAAATCCTCTGATTAGCTGATTGTCGGTTCTTCATCGATACATGCCGAGATCCCCGCCGTGATATCCGACCGGTCAAGGATATAACGACCTTCCGTTGGCCGTGCTTGATTGCCCGACAATGTTCTTCGAAGTCGTTCAAGGCTAGGACCGATTCCGAACCATGACCCCGATATTCTCGAGGGCGGGCGTCATGCCCCCGAATTCTGACTCTATGAGACTTTTGCCTCGACGGTCCCCTGTCATCATGTGTCGAGCTTTGCTTATTTTATCGGAGACCGAAATATATCATGAGCCCGATTTTACTCGCATACACAAATCATCTTGATCAATCCTTTGGGCTACCATACATGTATAGTTACTATATGGAGAATGGACCTATTTTTGTACTTATACTATCTATCTAGATTTGCAAATCACGTGAACGTTTTTTCCTCTCCCAATTATTCTTTAGTACTTTTGTCTCATTTTAAATTTACTAGTATTAGTATGTGTGCGATGCGCACATACAAATTATGTCAAATTATGATTTGTATTATTTAGATTATCTGCAAATATCTTTACTATTTAATTTTCACATAAAATTATAGATAATCATTAGATATTAAGAAAGAAGAGTATATGAAATCATTTTTCAAATCTCGTAGTGGATAAGCTATTTATTTTCTTTTTAAATTTGTAACAACATAATCTCTTGATTTTATTAATTGCATCTTATTCTGCGATCAATATTAAAGAATATTAAACATGCCACATTGTGATCTATCTTGTTTGAGCATATTAAATCATATTATTTTAATAAAATTCTTACTAAAACTTTGTTTTACATCTCAAGTTCAAATATGTCTTATCCTTCTACATTTTTTTCTCTTTTTGTTCTTTGTTTATAGTTATTATATTACTCATTACTTAATAATGTCTATTGTCATATGATTTTTTATTAATTTACCAACTCACTTAATGTCTTGATAATTTTTCCTAAAATAATCATCAATAATTATAATTTTTTATTCTTGAAATTTAATATATTTTTACACTTTATCCTCTTACTCGAGACTTTTTTATCATTTAAATGTATCAATAATATTATATTATCTAGCTATTTAATTTATTTACTTAAACTAATTCAAAGTATAAGTATAATTCAAAGTATATATTTAATGTCTAATATATAGTATTATCACATTTTCAAGTGGTTTTCATTAACTTGTCACTTCATTTAATATCATTATCAAAATATAATATAAATAGATAAGTAAAATTTTGATCTTGCATAAATATTTATGTTATTTTTAAACTATTGCTCTAAATTCTTAAATTATTTCAGTTAGCCAATAATTTTTTTTAAGTATTGCATATTTATTTTATTTATCTCTAATTTATTTTTATTCTTCAATTTTTATTTTTTTTATCTATTAGACTTCAGTTACGTGGCCTTATCCACAATATGATATTTCTTAGTAATCTACTAATATAAAGTTCGATATTACGATTATTTGTTTTAACTTTCTTAAGTTTGGTAACAATATAATCTCTTGATTTTATTACTTACATTTCGTTTCGTGATCAATATTAAAGAATACTAAACATGTCACATTGTGATCTACCTTGTTTGAGCATATTGAATCATATTATTTTAATAAAATTCTTACTAAAACTTTGTTTTACGTCTCAAGTTCAAATATGTCTTATCCTTCTACATTTGTTTCTCTTTTTGTTCTTTGCTTATAGTTATTGTATTACTCATTACTTAATATTGTATACTGTCATGTGATTTTTTATTGGTTTACCAACTGACTTAATGTCTTGATAATCTTCCTTATAATAATCATCGATAATTATAATTTTTTTATTCTTGAAATTTAATGTATTTTTACACTTTATCCTCTGACTCGGGACTCTTTTATCATTTAAATATATCAATAATATTATATTATCTAGATATTTAATTAATTTATTTAAACTAATTCAAAGTATAAGTATAATTCAAAGTATATATTTAAAGTCTAATATATAGTATTATCACATTTTCATGTGATTTTTCATTAACTTGTCACTTCATTTAATATCATTATCAAAATATAATATAAATAGATATGTAATTTTTTGATCTTGCTTAAATATTTATTTTATTTTTAAACTATTGCTCTAAATTCTTAAATTATTTCAATTAGTCAATAATTTTTTTAAGTATTAGATATTCTTTTTATTTATCTTTAATTTATTTTTATTCTTCAATTTTTTATGTTTTATCTATTAGACTTCAGTTACGTGGCCTTATCCACAATACGACATTTTTTAGTAATCTACCAATGTAAAGTTTGGTATTATAATTATTTATTTTAATTTTCTTAAGTCTGGTATATAATTAATAGCCTATCATAAGACATGAAAGCTGAAAATAAAAAACAAAACAAACCAAAAAAAGGAAGAAGAGGGAGATAGAAGATTTACGTTAAATTTAGGATAGAGTTGTTATTAATTACTTCCATAAATAATATTTGTTTCTAAGTATTAATTGCTAATTTTATCTTAAAATTGCCAAATGACTTCTTATTAGTTTGCCACTTGATTTCACCACATTATAAACTATCCTCTTATTTTATGTATGTATATTTTTTTGATATAGATATATAAATATAATTTATTAATTCAAAAAAATTTATTGCAATTTTTATTAGCTTTGTCCTAATTTTTCTATATGTCTTACTCTTAATATGTTACTCGGCTTATATATCAGTCAAACTAAATATTTTATTATTAAATAAATACCTAAATTAAAGGGATAATATCACATAAACTAAACCTTGAGTTGGAAATGTATCATGAACGAAAATCAATCCAATTCACTCCTTTCGTTTATCACTTGGACCAAAATTAAAGGGAGAATATTCCTTAAATAGAACTTTTTATTGTAGAAACATTTCTTGAACAATTTAGATTAGATTTTGTCATAATCTTGTTAAATCTATATTAGATTTTGTCATAAAATCTATTTAAATTTTATTTTAAAAATGCTAAGTGATTTTTTTTCAATATGCCACTTGACTTAACCTCATGCTTCACTACCCTCCTTTTAATATAATATAGATTTGGAGAGAAAATTTTTCTATTTCATGATGTCTTCATTTCACATTTCTTTGTTCTCTCGAGCGCTATCAAATCAACACATTTTAGAATGATAACTTTATTCGTTCCAATTTATGTGAAGGGGTTTCAAGTACACAAGGGTACCTACTTTTACTGTAAATTAAAGTATAAATTTTTAGGCATTTAAAAATAAATAATTTAAAATATTCAATTTTTTTGAGAGAATCATAGTATAAATAAAATATTTGATTTGGCAAATAGTGACACATCAATTTGGAAGGATAAACAAATTCGAAAGAAAAAGAAGACCCTCTGAAAACAGAGGTCAATGGCTAGTTGTATTTAAACTCTTCACCTAAGAATAAGAATTAAAAAAAATAAGGATAGCATGCTGACAGGGAGGGGAAAGGGTAAAAGTCGAAGAGAAGACTTATCCAAATAGGACCAGAAAAACACACAGGAAGTTACTGCCACATAAGTTATTGTCATTAAATTCAACAGTTGCAGCTTTTCTTACCTTTTTGTTATGTAATTTCCATAAATCTTATGTCTCAAATCTCAAAATAAAGACAACACTGGTTGTGGCTCTAGTTACTTCCATATGAGTTGTTTGTTTTTTTAGTGAAAAGGTTAACTAATCTCCTCGTTTTGAAAATAGAACTCTAGCTAGGAAAAGATCTTACCGCCACATTTTTATTCAATTTGTTTTCTATCCTTCTCGTTTTGATCTCACTTTCCGACTTATTTTATCTATAAAAGTGGAGAGTTAAATTTTCACATTTATAACCTGTTTGGCCAAGCTTCTTTTGAGGTAAAAGCGCTTTTTTTTTTTTTTTTTTTTTTTTTTTTTTTTGGTCGAAAGTGTTTTTTCTCCTAAAATTAAGGCATTTGGCCAAATTTTTAAAAGGAAAAAAGTGATTTTGAGGAGAAGCAGAAACAGTCTTGGAGAAACAGAAAAAAATAGTTTCTCTCAAAAAATACTTTTTTGAAAAACACTTTTGAGAAAAATATACTTAGAAACAGTTTTTTTAAAGTTTG